AAAAACAAGTCTTCTCTCTGGATCCCCTGCCAAAAGCGTTTGAACTAGTCGGTACTTATACGGAATAAATTTGTATTTTTTTAAAATCCTTTGAACAGTACCATAACTGAAATTAGAGTCCTTGAGAATATCTGCTATTGAATTCTCACGATAAGCTTCAAAATATCCAATAACTGCAATTTCCGTGGCCTCGCTTATTATGAATTCTTTTTTTGCCCTTGTTTTAGCAAAAACATTTTCGTTGCCCCTAAATTTTCGATAAAGTCTCAGAAAATATCGTTCATACGGTTCAATGCGAGCGGGATATAATTCACTTGCTCTCAAGGAGGATTTTCTGCACACTAAATAGCATTCTAACATATCACACTTTTCTTCATGGGAGAACATTTTTCTTTAAATTAATGACACAATAAAGCTTATAAACAAGTATTTACACTAATGTTTGACATTATTTGATTTTATCATTGTTTTCCAAAGCCTTCTAGTTGCGAGTATGTCCAGTTTAACAATTTGTCGCTTATCTTAATGCTGTCAAATCGCGAACGCCATGTTGTTTTCATAGCCGTCTTAATATTATAATACTGCAAATAATTAAAAATATTTATCGTTATTTTGACTTTATTTTTGACTTTAGCGGAAAAGTCATTATGAACTTTTTTGTTTAAAATTTGATGCTTTAACAGAAAAAAATATAATATACAGGGGTTTCCATTTAAAAAAATGTTATTTTACTGAAAAAAATCAAAATAACGACTCTCAATTGTTTTTTTTATTTCTCATTTTTACCAGCGTTAAAAATGCTACTAGTTTGCTAATTTAAACAACTTTGTATTTTTACTAATAACAAAGTTACCAATGGTGGACACTTAATTTGGATAACCCTGTATACACAAAATAAACCTTTATGTACATCTCTCCATGCGATATGGCATGACTATTAAAGCTTTAAAAACAAGTTTAAAATCTTCAAGACTACCATTTTCGAATTTCCAAAATCATACACAAAATCTGCCACAAATATGGATACTAAATCTCAAAGGAAGAAAAAAGATGGGTCCGTAGCTGGATTTAATGTTTTGGATTTTACTTTTCTGGATTCTCCTGTTACGAAAAATCTACTCCTTCACGATGAAGCAATAACTCACCTCAAAATTGGTAAGTTTATCCAGAACGTGGGCAGGATTTTGGAACAATCGGGTCCAGGCCCCAAGAACCAAAGAAATAAGTATGTATATACTAGTATGAAGAGATAATTGTTTACTGATTTTATATTTTATTTTTTATTTTGTTCGTTGTTATTCCATAGTTCCAGCTCTTTTCGTCTTACACTCAATCTCACTTCAGTTTGCTAGATTTATTACATGCCATTTTTACCAAAACATAGTTTAATTAACCTTATTTGAGAGAATTTTGCTCTCATTTCCAGCGTTGAGCGATTTTTCACTTTGTTTAAAATTGTAGATTCGTCGCGATCCAGGTCGGCAAACTGCAAAAATGCTTAGTCTTGAGTATACGTAGCTCATGATAAATTAGAAAAGTTTCATTTTTTTAGATTATGCTCTGATCAAGGTTAACTCAGCTGGATTTGGACTCTGAAATGAGCCAGACATGTACCTATTCGAAAGCTTAATCGTTGTTTGCAGTGTCTCACTTCACTAACAAAACGAACAATACTCGTACTTTCGTTATCAGATGACAAATATCTGATTGTTCATAATACCAAGGTTAATGTGAAGAATAACGTTTTTATTTATCTATTACAAAATGGTTTTCTAGTAAAAAACAAACTGATATTTCATGTTTCATTCAAGTGCCTAACATACCTTTCATCCTATCTTGTACTGAGACTCATATTCTCAAAATATTCAGATGAATTTCGAGAATGCGGATGCGAACGCAAATTTCAAGAAACATGCAAATATTCGCGAATGCAAATATTAGTTACAACTACTAGTGGCAGTCCTTTGAATGATATTATATTTTGTTATTAACCTTTCCAATAAAACTAGAAATTTTAAAAAATATTCATCATATTCTTTTTTTCGGCCGACTCAAACTTCGAATTTAAACTGGTCCAGTCCGTTAATCCCCATGCTTGTCTGACCAATAAAACAAAATGACTATAAATAGTTAACGTTTCAATCACAAAGGTGATTTTCTTCAGTGCAATGACTATATTTGAATTATCTGTCTGTGATAGTTTGATTTTGCTTTTCATTATTACACTCCCATACAGTGTATTACTACAATAGTTTGGGAGTCCCGTAACATGCTGAGATTGCGCGAAGTCATTCCGAATTTTGAGAAGGCACCACGCAAAACCAGCATAGCCCAGAGCCACCTGGGGTAGGCATTCCACTTCCCAAAAAAGGACGCCCAGCCCTCATAACCGACAAGCGAGTGTGAGGTTATTTGTCGTTTTTTAATGTACCGGACACCTTACCCTCGTCCATCATCCTAAAGACACCAAAAGCCTTCCAAAAAACTCGAAAACCCACTCAGAACTATTGTCACAACAGACCGGTTAATTGTTATGCAATCCTCGACTAAAATGTTGCAGGTGCATTTTTTTTTTGCAAGTGAAAAGCGAGAAAGGCTACTACAAAACCTTATGGGAACGATGTTGTTTGTCCCTATGCTTTATCGTCCACGTAAACCGATTTCCAATTAAAATTAGTACACTGCCCAGTGTAGCTGACAAAATCTGATTCTGTTCCATCTACCACATGCCCTAATCCGTCCAAGGGCACAATAAACGCCATATTAAAAGAAAATAAGTCGAACAAAAAACCCTAATAGGCCATCGAAGGGAGATTGTATTTTGGAGCGGTGGTGAGCCTTCCCAGTTTTTACACTTCTAATGCCCTTGTTGGATCCGTTGTGTCTATGGGTGTACAATGGGTACCCATAAATACGACTTAATAGACTCAAGGGCACAATGAGCTTAATAGAGATATTGTTGCTGCGGTAGATGACACCCGGTATAAGGGCACAAAGGACCAAACCACAGACGTTAGACAGAGAGATGGCGAAAGTTACGTTGGGTTTATAAGGGAAGATTTCTTCCAAAGCAAGCTTGAAAGAAGGAAGCAGAAAGCTAGCTGTTGTGTGACAGCATCTCTTCGAAATTTATCTTTCATGGGTATAAAATGTATACAAGATGTAAGATCGGACGGCTCGATGTTTTACTCTTGTAGTGGTCGATTCTGGTTATACCATAGATGACATTTTAAGCTGTCTTATTTCGTTATAATTAGTATACTCAAGAAGCATGTGCATGAACTACATTTGGTCTATGGATTGGCATATTCCTAGACGCATAGGGAATTGCTTCCAAAAATATTGCAAGAAATAGATAACAGGCTGACTCCCAAGTATTGCACAGGTACGAAAAACGTTCTAGATTGCCATATAGGTACCAGCAACTATACTGGTGTATCGATCAAACTATTTTTTACTTCCTACGCTATTAGTAAGTAAGTATTGAAATAGCGGAAAATTTCGAGTATAAGGTGCTATGTTTTTTGGATGTAACATCAACAAAACCTATATCATTCAGCCCTGTCTATCTGTCCTTCGGTCTGTCCACATGAATCCTTGACCCGAACCCGTATTACTTAAAAAGTGACATTATTATCAATTTTTTTATGACAGACATAGGTTTACCTATAAAAAGATGATGATGATGCCAGAAATAGGTTTTCCTATAAAATGTCATCTTTGAACTAACCGAAATTCACTTCATGCTCATTTGTAGTAGGCACGGGATGAACTAGCTAGGCTACTTAGTGCACAAGTTGACATTTTACCGATTTTTTAAGATTAGATAGGTTTTTTACGCAAAATTCTGGCGTCTGTAACTTAAGATGTACTTCTTAGCTTTTACTTGAAAATCGGTCCAGTTGCGGTGGAGCTAAGGGAGAAAAACGAAAAAATAAAAATCGCTTAAGCTTCGTTTTTTGGCGCTACAGAGGGCCCCGATCATTTCTAGAAAAATGTGTTGAAAGTGGGCGGCGGAAGAGGAAACTTCCCAGTTTCCCATATTTCACACATATTTCAACGTAAATTTGTTCTTAGAACTAATAATGATGGAAATGGACATCTTTTTAACACACGTCTCTCTCTCTCTCTCCCACACACACCCACCCACAGAAGTATCGTGTTTTGATGCAATTATTTTTAGAAACAAACGACGTAATTCAAAAAAATGGTAGAAGAAAATGGATAAAGAATTAACATAAATAAATAAAAAATAAAAACAACTACTGACGTTTTGAAAACAGATTTTACATGTCCGAGGCTACTATCTACGAGTTCGAATAATCGTGCACAAAATTTGCCACACACAGATCTAGTCGCAAAGCAAGAAAAAAAGATGATACAGTGCTTTTGGGTATGTGCTGGTTTTTTGGACCTAGAAACCTACGAGCCCCTTCCCACTTCAGTTGGCCCACTTCAATATTTGTACCAAAATATGCCTTTATAAGCTAAACATAACGAAACTATTTACTTCTAAAACAATTTACTTTCTCAAAGACGTTTTAGATACACTCTAGTCGTAAAAAAATACATATTTGAAATCACTTAGACCTATAACTAATAGAACATCTGAACAAATAAACAATGTGCGAATAAATGCGCGAAGTTAACAAAGCAACAATTGAAAGATTACCATCACCTTTATTTTTTATTACGGCTGAAATTCTTTGGGGCATAGTGTCAACAAAGTTTTGGTGAAAATTTGGTGTAAAACAATCCCATATTTCTTGAGGCTTTTGTCTCAGTTCGGTGATTGTACGAGCAGGATGTTGTCGTAGAACCTTTTTCATCTCGTGCCACTAAGTTTCAATAGGTGACAGATCTGGACTGCTAGAAACCATTTCAAAAGTGGTACTTTATTTTCTTCCATCAGTGGAGTTAATAGTGGCTTTTCTTTGGCCTATAAACAAGTTGTGCAGCTTTTACTTCACTTTTTTATAAGAAAACTTACCTTGCAAGTGCTAAATCCCAGTTTGTGGGCCTCTCTATGAGTTGTGGACCTCGAAATTCTCCTTCCAACAGCGTCACTCCACAGAGTGCTTAATTGTAAATAATTGGCAGGCCTGTTTTTCACGATTATTCTTCTTAATGCTCTTCGGTCGGCATTTGTCATATTACTTTTTTTCACATATCGTGGCTTAATATTAACTGGACCAGTTACGTTATATCTTCTAACAATATTTCTCACACTGTACCGTGATAAGTCTAACAAAGTTGCAATTTCTGAGTTTGATTTCCCAGAATTAAAAAATTTAATTATCAGTAACCGAATTTTCTCACTAATGACCTTTCGTCTACCCAAAACTATTTTAAACGTATTCTGACAGCTGTGATTAATAAAAACAATTGTCATGGCTTTTATTTTTCACAGCCACCTATGCGTTATAGACTTATTTTGTATTGAAATGAAAATAGGTTGATATGCTGTAATTGCAACATGTGTTATTTTTATGCTGCAAATTTGATTAGCGAGTGATAAAGTTGGTGTTTTCTACTATATATTATCAAAATATTCATTGTTAATATTTTAAACCTATAACACCCTGCTACCTTTTTATTATTTATATTTGATAAGACAAAAACTAAGATTTCAATAGTTGGGCCAACTGATGTGGGAAGGGGCTCATACATTGAGAATCCTAACAAATACTTCACCACCGTACAAATATTAAAATCGTTGGCACCCTTCAGTTCCAAACCATTCCAATTCCCAAACTTAAAACATGCGAATTACCAACTGCGTTGCAAATATCGGGATAAGTAAATAAATTGTTCATCAAAAAATAGGCAAATTTGCCCAAAGCGTGATCAGAGTTTTGGATCATTCGGGGGAGAGGTGAGTCAACCCCCCTGACCCCCCCTATTATATGCCACTGTTTAAAAAAAAGTATTAGTTAAAATTTCGCTCTCTAGGCAGGTTAATATAACATACGTCTGCATTCAACGACAACTGCCTGTTTTGTGTGAGCTCGGCAGCACAAATTATGTCAACACGCGTGTCGAAATCCGTATTTAGGCATGCCTAGCTGTCAACTTTTCAGCCACTGCATTCTCCACGATGAAAAATAGTTTATAGATTACCACCGGAGGGCTCATAGTGGAGTATTTGCATAGATTTACTATTTGTAACTATCGAAAATGTGCCAGGTCACTACCTATCCTGAGTTATGAATGTACGAGTATTAATATTAGTGCGTAAGCTAGAAGCTTCGTGTGGGAAGGTTTTTACTTCTCACGCCAACTGACGAGGAAGTGTAATCAGGAAACATCTCACTTCCGTCAGCCTGACTATCGATCTGTCGATTTGTCTATCCGCTTGTCCTTGCAACACAAAACTCGGAAACTACTACTCGGATTTTGATGAAATTTTCACTCAATTTTACTACAATCCCATGAACAAAGAAACTTTGTAGTATTTGGAAATAAAAAATAAAAATAACACACAAAAAAGAGGGATCTTGATTAAAGAAAAACTATCTTCAATTGAGGACCGTGAGTGAGATATGTTTCTAATACATACTATACTATACATCTTTGACTTAAGGTCAATTTCTCAGCTATAAGTGAGATGTTTCTTTAAAACGAAATTACCCCATTTGAGGTTCTGTGATCTCAAATCAATATCATAATTTCATAAAAACTCTTGCTCTTGAATCAATAGTAGTTTTCCCTCAAATTCCACTTTTTGACGTTTCAGAGGCTCAATATCAGAAAAATGTTTGCGCAGGTTGAAAATTGGACGCTCCCAGCCTCGGCAAATCTACGCACCCTATCAGACATGTTTTATACATTTGGCCTCAAAAGAATAACACATGAAAATAATTTCATCCCGCGCATGGAAATGCAACGTAGGATATACCTAAGTCAAGGAGTGACAGCTGGCGTGCAATCTCTAATCATAACAACGTTGCCAAATATCGATACTGTAGGAGAGAAATTTCTTGATTGCAGCGTTGTCATTGAGGGAGACTAGGGCATAATTGTATGGACCTGCTTGACTGACTTGTTCCAGTTCCAGTTCAGTTTTGTTATACATATTCGTAGCCCACTTTCTTCTCAGGTGGGCTAACTTGTACTGAACATAATGCTTCATGAAGCGATAGCGTTACGTTGGCAGTGCAGAGTCAACTTTCTTGACGCCATTTTTTTCAAGGTACGTATACTAATACCAAAAAATTGGTATACCAAAGTTGTGCAGCTCATGTAATTCAATAGTTTCCTAAAAAAGGTAACTAAAAAGATGTGGTGAATATGAATCGTATTCAAATTCCAATATAAAAGAATTTTGATAGAACTCGATTTAGGTATACTCTAGCCCTTAGACAGCAACATATTCCGCTTAGCTAAGATACCTCGACAAATGATTCAAAACAGTCCTAAAGGGTTACAAATTGTAGAATGCAATCAATGATGACGCTAAAAAATGTGAATGTAACAAATAAATAGGACTCGAAATCTTATTTTCTTGAATCTCGCGTCTTGGGGTCTAGTAATAAAAATATTTCTATTTGCAGTAATAAAGTAGGTCGACTGCAATTCTCACATAACGCCACCATCCGTTCATAAATAATTATTTTCAGCACAAATTAGTCCCTCTGAGAAAAAAGTTGTTCACAAACATTTATTTTACAATCCTTTCCCTGGCTTATCGGTAGTACCGCCCATCTGGCAACGTCGCCTCTCCCGCTACCTGATTGCACGACGCATCAGACGTCATGCGGCACAGCGGTAATAATGCTAAGACGCTTATCAAGATTAGCACACCCGTCAGTGAACCCAGAGAACAGCGACAGTATTGAAAGCATTTCTCTCTAACATTTAAGTTTTAAAAGCAAACCTACGGGGAGATCTATGGTGTGGAATATGTCTAATATGTGCGTAGAATTAGTGAAGTGGGTGGTGTATAAATATAAGATGAAAAAGAAAAGGATATAACGTTTTCCCATCCCTTACAACCCTGTGCCCCCAATGTTTAACCCTTTCCACTGTTTTTTTGGAAATGGTCAGGATCCTCTGAAACATCAACAAAGTTTGAGCGATTTCTATTTTTTTGTTTTTTGTCCCGTAGGCCTCTGCCACTGAACTGATTTTCAAATACTAGGTACAAAGTTTTTTGGTCTTTGGCATAGTAGTAACGTTGTGCGAAAGACATACATACTGACAGACCGATTCACAGACCGACGGAAATGAGTGACATGTTTTTTCGTGATGTAGGTACATCTCACTTCTGCTAATAAATATGTACAGGGTGGCCGATATGCAACTGACTGGTTTGTATCTTGAATATTTGTGAAATGAAACAAAATACGTCCATTATTTCATCTTAATCTTTTATTGAAACTTAGAAAATATGTATGAAAAATAATATCAGACAAATGTTCGCCACTAAAAGCCGCGCAAACCTGAGCTCACTTGATTAAATTTTCCATCACATTTTGGTAGATTTCGGGAGGAATATTTTCAATCGCTTCCATAATATTGTTCTTCAACTGCTCTACAGTATTGGGTTTGTCGGCATAAGCCCTATTTTTCAAGAATCCCCATAAAAAGTTAGGAGCCATTAAATACGGTGACCTTGGTGGCCAGGAGATATCACCAAATCGAGAAATTAAACGTCCCGGAAATATTCTTCGCAATAAATTCATTGTTTCCCTAGCTGTGTGACAAGTTGCTCCGTCCTGCTGGAACCACATGTTTTGCAGGTATAATACTTTCTTATTATTACTCTTATTGTCATTTATCTGTTCTGTTAATGTTTGTATTTATTTTTGTATGGGTGAAGTGGAGAAACAGTTTAAGCTAAACTTCGCCCAAATAAACAGACGTTAATTATGTATAATATCGAACAAAAATAAAATCTCATTTTGAAATGGATAGATATTTTTTGTGGTGTGGCTTTTGGAGAATTCTTTCAATTGAAAATTGTTGCTAAAGTCCTTGACGTAATCAATGAACAAGCTTATCCTCACACGAAATAGAGCATAACCGGCAAAGAGCTCATCACGGGCATTGAGAAGAGCCGCTTACCATCCAGTCGGATCAAATTACTTCCGTTTTTAATTTGTTGGCAAACAAAGTCCGCTAAGTAGTGGCCCTAATTGAGAGGGAATGATTTTCAAAAGTGGCTCCAGGCATGCGGCATTGATTTACAAACGAGAGCGGCCAACATCAAAGCGGATCGGGCGACGCCTTCTTGATCATTTTTCGGTCCGTGTACAAAGGACCAGCGTCTATATGAGAAAATCGATTTGAGGTTTTTTCTCTTGCTTTTGTTTTTGCCTCCTCTTTGGACGGGTTTATTACTGATTGTGCCTGTACGGACTTATACAGGGTAACTGAGAAGTTGCGGAAGGTTCTCTTGTGTCTTACTTCCCACCTACTGGCAAGGAAGTATTGTAGTCGAGAAAAAATTGATAATGATGAGGTATTATGTATTTTAGATATTATAATTATGGCATGTCACTCATTGCACACATGGTTGCCAAGGACGAAAAAAGTTTGTAGATTTTGAAAATCGATCCCAGTGGTGGCTGAGTATAGGGCAAAAAAACGGAAAAATTAAAATCAATTCCCCGAACATTTGCTTTTAAGACTCAATACCAAGGGACGTGTGGCACTTGCCGTACGCTACGAACTTACCCCGGTGCTCACAAAATCCTATCTGCGACTGCCGCTGTCGCCTAATCTAACTGCCACACTGCTGGAGATGGCCAGCATAGCATAAATGACGTAACCCAAATGGTCGATACTTTCAGTAAGGGCACGGGAGAAGCTTCTGGATCGCAGCGTTATCAAATGAGTGGGACTATGAACTAACTGTATGGGCCTGTTTGGCTTACTTGAACCATTTAATCCTTTTTTGTGTTAGACATGTTCGTAGTCAACTTTTTCCTTATCATAATAATCCTTTATGAACTGATAACAGCGTTGAGTGGAAAGTGCAGAGTCAACCTACTTGACGCTATTTTTTTATATGGCATCATGGAACAGATTTTCTGCACCAGTGGGAGAAAAAGCTAAATCATTCAAGGAGCTCTAAGATTCTAGGGCAAGGTCCAAGGTAATCCATAGAGATCTGAGGCAGATACAAGAGAATCCATGTTACCCGTTAACAATAATTGTTGTCTCATTGGCATTACCCGCGGTTGCTAAAATCCAAGGTAGTATGAGGGGATCCAAAGATTTCCAAAAAGAACCTAAAATCTTCAAAGAATCTGAGGGGAGGTCATTTTTTGCTGCCTGGCAATCTTTGTGATTTTCAACCTTCCTAACACCAGCTCACCACGGGTCCCAAAGTTTTTATCTGAATAGATTATAGGAGTTGTAAAATTGACACTATCTGTTCAATTTCTAAGTCTGAAACAAATGAGAGATGTGCCTTTGAAGCTCAGTGGAGTGTCTGTTCTCGAGCTAAGTGGGTATTGAACCAGATTGTATTTGAAAGGAACGATACCCAAATCGAGTTATGAGTCGTGGCACTAACAGTGTAAAATTCCATATAAGTAACAATCTATAAGGCAATAATTGTAATTTGGAGTATATTTTAAATTTTGCATATGGAAATAAAACAACACGGTAGGTAGTTTTAAATGACTTTATTGTTTTTTGAAGTATTCTCCACGAAGATTAATACACATCTGCATACGCTCGAACCAATTTTCGAAGCACTTATTCCACTCGTTTGCTGGCAGATCCAAAACGGCATTTTTGACTGCGTCAACTGCTTCTTCTGGTGACTGGAACCTTTGATCACGCAGTCTGTTTTTAATTTTCGAGAAAGTAAAGAAATCGTTAGGACTTAGATCGGGACTATATGGAGGATGGTCCAATAATTCCACGTTTTCTTCCGTTAAATACTGCCTTCTTTTTTGAGCTTGCATTGTCTTGGTGGAGGATGATTTTTCTTTCAGGGTTGATTTTTCCAAGCTCGGTGATGACTTTTGGCAAACAAATGGTGGTATACCAATCCGCAGTAACAGTTCTTTGCTCATTAAGAGGAATTGTTGCAATATGATCCGCTTTTGACACAAATGTCGCGACCATCATTCTCGAAACACTTCGAGAACGGATGAGTTTTGTTGGCTTTTCTTCACCTTGGAACACCCAAACAGCCGACTGTCGTTTATTTTCTGGTTCATAACAGTAAATCCACTAACAATGCTGTACACATCTTTTGAGTTTCCGGAATTGAAACGTTCAAGCGTTTTTTGACACCAATTAACCCTGGCTGCTTTCTGCTCTTCAGTCAACAGGTGGGGTATCCAACGAGAAACTAATTTTCTTACTCCTAATTCTTCATGTAAAATTTTTATATTGAGGTCTTTGAGATCTTCAAGGACGCCTCAATCTCGCGACATGTCACATGACTATCTTCAATGACGAGTGTGCGCACAGCATCGACGATTTCCTGGGTGACTGTTGTTTTTGGTGCACCCACCCTGGGATCGTCGCTAAGACTCAACCGTCCACATTTGAGTTCTCCATACCAACGGGAAATTGTCCACTGATGTGGAGCTTCGTTATCGAAAATAGACAGTAACTCAGCAAGGCATTCTTGTTGCGATAATTGTCTCTGAAAGTTGTAATAAATTATGGCGCGAAAATGTTCTCGGTTGAGTTCCATTTTTCTAATGACTTGGTGACACCTAAAAATTCACTGTAGTGAGAACACTGCACGTATTGTTGTGAAACTTTGAATTTAAGCTTACTAAAGAGTGAGGTAAATATGTAGGTACTGACGTTCGATCCGCGAGGCCTACTATGTTTCTATATGCAAAACTTAAAAGACATCCCTCGTAGTACACCACTGCTGATAGCATCAGTTATTACTTGGTATCCCGGCAGATTGACGGGTTGTCTATATCTGGTGAGCGACATCTATTTGCTCTTGCAGCAAAGTTTTGGTCAGAAGGCCTATGTCCTGTTTTGCATGTTCGACCTATGGGTCAAGCTTTGACCAGCTATCTTCTTGCAAGTAAAAATAATATTGAACAAAGCTAAATAAAAGGCGAAACACAGGTTTAACAGACCATAAAGCATTTCTCAGGCGGCAAAGCAAACAGTGGCCTGGGAATTTGTAAATTACTCGTCCACCATTGGAGTGTTACCCCTAAAGCCAAACGATAAGTCACAGAATGTAACAAGTTCAGGTTTGAATTGTCCCGAGGACAATCAAATGGACCCAGGGCCTATCAGTTAACCCATCTTCGAATGTCTTTAATGCTACAACCGCTGTGATTAGCAATATTAGCAATTTAATCACGTCAATTAGTTTGTAGATCTGTCAACTATTTGAAAATTCAAGTAGTCTCGATATTACTTAATAATCTGTAATATATATAATGTAATATATCAAGTATTTATAAATACGAGTAGATTATAAATACACAACGGAATGACTTTATTTGTCACAGAGAAGGCAATACATATTGCTCACAATAACTTGTTTATTGTACAGGGTGCGGCAGAGAGGACGAACGTTTTTGGGATGGGTAGTACTCCCCGCCCCGTCTACGAGAGAGGTGGGGAGGGTGCCGTATGACTCATGAGATCCCAGCATTATTTTACCAGTTGTCGTTATGGAGCCTTGGACGGTGAAGCACCGCATTTTCGCCTATGATTGTTTCGTCCGAAGTCAGTCATCGTCGAACAGCGTGAGTTTGATCGCCACCTCAACATTCATCGGAATAGAGCTGTTCCCTCTCGAAACACCATCCTTCGTTTGGTTGAATCGCTTCGCAGGCGTGGTGAACTGATCAACAGAAGACCAAGAGGAGCGCCGCGAACAGTTCGAACTCCTGAAAATGTTGAACGCGTTCGACAGGTCTTTCTTCGCAGTCCGACTCGATCTGCCCGGAAACATGCTGCTGCACTTCGCCTTAGTGATCGTTCGGTAAGGCAAATTTTGCATATGGATCTCCGCTTTCACCCATACAAATTGGCCATTGTGCAACAGTTACAGCCCGGAGGTTATGCACAACGAATGAACTTCGCACGTGAGATGGAAGCACTAATCGATCAAAATGAGAACCTCATTTTGTTTATGAGTGACGAAGCCCACTTTCACCTAAACAGCATGGCTAACCAGCAGAATTGTCGTTATTGGGCTAATGGAAATCCGCAAGAGTTACACGAAGACGGTAATGGTCGTGATGTTACCGTGAACTCAGAGCGCTACGTCGACATGATCACCAACTTCTTTCTCCCTGAATTACGACGGCGACGTGTTCCAATCAGACGTGTGTGGTTCCAGCAGGATGGGGCGATCGCCCACACAGCCCGAGCATCCATTGACGTTATTCGCCCTCTCTTCCCTGGTCGCCTTATTTCCAGGTTTGGCGATGTTCATTGGCCTCCTCGGTCCCCAGATTTATCCATATGCGATTTTTTCTTATGGGGACACCTCAAGGCTAGAGTATACGCGAACAAGCCCCGAACTCTGGACGAATTGGAGGGCGAAATTTACGTGGAAGGCGACCAAGTTGAGAGAGCGATGTGGGAGAGAGTCTACGCGAACTTCCAAGAACGCCTCCAGCACTGCATCAACGATTTCGGCCACATGCCTGATGTAATTTTCCACACTTGACTGTCTCAAATGCTATTTCCTTGTGAACCTGATTCCATCAATAAATTTGTTTTCGAGTAAAAATTGACTATTTTATGATTTTTTTAAAACCGTCCATACTCTCTGCCGCACCCTGTATAACAAATAATAGGTTTTTCATCGATTTTATCCTTATGTTAACATTGAAAATAATGGAAGTGACAACTGACCGGATTTTACAACACACCCCTATATCATAATGATTATTTTTAAGTTGTGACTGTTATAAAACAAGTATAATAATAAAGATGTATGGTCATTATATTTTGTTTTTGTAAAAAACATGTAAAACTAGTTGTTGAGTTATTTTTGATAATGATGATATATGATATGCGAATATCTAAGAGTGTAAATCTACATGAAAAATTAATGTTAGTTTGCTTTATAAACTATGGTCCAAAAATGTTTTCTTACAAAAACTCGGGGTGTTGAAGTTTTAGGAAAAAAAAATAATTAATATTTTCAGAACCGCTTCAGATATTTGACTGATATTTAGTACGTAGTGAAAGTTAATAAAGTTGCATATTTTTCAATGCGAAAGTAATTTTTAGCTTTAACAGTGGCGTGCGTATGAGTATTGACTTCGATATTTTTTAAGAAAAAAATGGTACGCCAATGGTTTTTTGCCACATAAACATTGTTTTTGAATTCTCCATTCAATTTAAAACAAATGATCTCTCTTGATTTGCCTTCCTTGGATGCGCCATTTGTGAGTGAGTGAAAAAACAAAAACCGTTTATTGTCCGAGAAAATTAATGTAATAATTGAAGAATGCAATTTAGCAATAAATATCTAGTTGCTCTGGAATATGTTACTGGCTTTTGACATCTGACAAGTCTATGTTATTCAAATCTGTTCGCTGTGACATCTTTTTCATTATTCAGTTTTTACAATCCTGTTAATAATGTGAATTATTCAAATGCAGATATGGCGGAAATGCATTACGTATATGGCCTTGCCGACGGTAATGGTGAGCAAGCCAGACGGATTCATCACCAGAGATATCCCGATCGTGCTTTACCAGATAGTCGAACCTTTTCTAATATTCATCGTCGTCTTATTGAAACTGGTTCTGTCCGAAAAGGAACATCTGAAGGTAGACCTCTAAGTGTGAGCACACCTAAAATTGAGGAAGCAGTGCTGCACGAAGTTATCATTTGTTGGCAGAAGAAAATCCCTATGCCGTAAGCGAAACCCATTTCCAACACCAATTTTCGGTTAACTTATGGGCAGGAATTATTGGTAACCACTTTATTGGCCCAATCTTCTTGCCGGGACGACTTGACGGACAGACTTACCTCAATTTTCTTCAACAACAGTTACCTTTGCTGCTTGATGATGTTCCGTTAGTAATAAGAAACAATATGTGGTACATGCATGATGGTGCACCAGCGCATTTCAGTGTTGCGGTTCGTAATTATTTACAAACTGTTTATCCAAGTCGTTGGATTGGTCGCAGTGGGCCCCAAGAATGGCCACCAAGGTCCCCAGACCTCAACAGTTTAGATTTCTTTTTGTGGGGCAATCTTATGATTCTAGTGTTCACAAGTCCCGCTAACACTGTAGAGGAACTAAGAGAGAGAATAGTTGCAGCTTGTGATAGAATAAAAAACACTCCAGGGATATTTCAACGAGACCGCAATTCCATCAGAAGGAGGGCGGAAGCATGGATCCTAAGTGAAGGACATTTTCAACAATTTTTGTAATCATTTCGTTGGTTTTAATGTTATGTTTATGTTGCCAGTTGTTGTTTTTCATTACCCCTAAAGTGTATATTTTTTCCAATTAAATTAATGATAATTTTGCAAGTTAGACAATAGAACGGTTTTTATTTTTTTTTACTCAAAAATGGCGCACCCAATGAAGACAATTCAAGAGAGATCATTTGTTTTAAATTGAACGGAGAATTCCAAAATAATTTATATTAGGCAAAAAACCATTGGCGTACCATTTTTTTCTTAAAAAATATCGAAGTCAATACCCGTACGCACGCCACTGTTAAAACTAAAAATTATTTTTGCGTTAAAAAGATATGCAACTTTATTAACTTCCACTGCGCACTTATTAATGAAATATCTGAAGCGGTTCTGAAAATATTAATTACTTTCCATTTTTTTCCTAAAATTTCAACACCCCGAGTTTTTGTAAGGAAAAATTTTTGGACCATACTTTATAAGCAAACTAACATTAATTTTTCATTTAGATTCACACCCTTAAATATTCGCATATCATTAAGGAACATCCTGTATATTTATAGAAAACTTGTGTTTCTGTATTGCGTGCCCGTGTTATAAGAAAATATACTTCTCATAGATCGCACGGCGTGACACAAAAACCCTTCTTGATATCCGCTGATCTTGCGCCGGCCCTATTTTTTCTCCCTACCTATTTTGTATTTGAATCTACTGAATTTTAACGACACTAACTACCAATTTCGTGTTTTTTGATTTGGTAACGCTGTTTGCATTATGAATTGAGTTACGGCGTCTCGCAAAAATTTTCGATTTACTACGCGCTTATTTGTAGTATAGTTATTTGTTTTTAGAGGCACAAAAATATAATGTGCCATTAAGCATCAAGCAATTTAGAACAATCTAACATCAAGTAGAACAGTAAGAAGGTGTAGCCCAATCAAGCATTAACGTTTCAAGTAATTTCATTTTCAAGTCAACTAGTTTATAAAAATATCATGCTACTTGACTGATGAATCCACAGCCGCTGCACGTAATATACTAAGTGACATATAAATCCGAACACCCAGTTTAAATGGTTTTATTTTAATAAAATTTTGTATAAGTCCAACGCGCCTAGGTATGCTTCTGATCAGGTGGTCAATGTCCTCCTGTGGTATCTCATTCCAGGCAACCACCAACTCCTCTCGAAGTGGTTCTAGAGTCTGAGGAGGACGTTGCAAATTGAGCAATCTCCTACCCATCATATCCCACACGTGCTCAATTGGGGATAAGTCGGGAGATCTTGTTGGCCATGGTAACAATGTGACATCATTATGTTGAAAGAAG